CATCCATCCATCCATCCATCCATCCATCCATCCATCCATCCATCCATCCATCCATCCATCCATCCATACACTGTATTGTAAGAGTCTACACAAACTCGCTTGTAAGAACCCTTAAGATCTGTAAGACCTATAACCTGTATGTGAGACATAAAGGGCAGATTGTATAACAACTACAGTTGGGATTTTCACAGCACATTTATCCATCAAAGACACACACCTTTTGACCTTTCTGCCCCACAGCGCCATCATCACCTGGACGACCTTTTTTACCCTGAAGACAGAAACCAAATCAGGGTTAAAATCTGATCGATATCTGTGTTTGACATTCAGTTCTCTTGTTAGACAGTGTTAGAAAGACAAGAACAAATAACACTCTGACCCAATAAGTTTAAGCTTACCTGGTCCAACAAGTAGTTTTATTCTAAACAGTTACCATTGCAGACTGACTGAGGAAGAACTCACCAATGGCCTGAATTGGCCTTAAATTGTTGTCTTATTGTTAATGCAGGAAAACTTAAAGTATTATGTCCACTAAACTGCACCTGGACCACATGCATGTCTCTATCCATCAAAAGGGTGTAGTTAGTGGTCGTTAAAATAATGAGAGCAATRATGTGTGCTCGTCTGTCTGAGTGTAAGAATTTGAAGAATCTCTCTGAGGTGAAAGCACCTGGTTTACACAGCTGTCTGTTAGAAACATGATTGTCTGTCTTCCTGAGTGACTGAGCTGATTGTTGTCTGGGGAGMGGGGGAGGGACTGGATTTGGAATTTCATTACGAGCAATAAAGTACAAGCAGGGACTTAAAGCATCACTCAGAAACTGTGGTTCATGCAGTTGGGGTCATTAGTTAAATTTATCACAGATAAAAGTCCTGCTTTAAAGYTGGTAGGTGAAAAGTAGGAGGTTAAATACTCACTGCGGGTCCACTGGGTCCCCTTTCTCCTTTCTCGCATGCACATTTTTGAGCCAGAGGACACTTCAAAAAGAGGGGACATGATTGTCAAACCTAATTAAGTTGTGCCAAATGTCAAAGGTCCATGAGCAAATATTTGCTTTGGTACTTACTCCTTCATCTGCTAATGTGGTCTGCAAATAAAGGGGAAAATGTATTTGAATTTGTATCAATTTTCATTGGAGTGATGAAAATGTACTTGTTCTAACACACAAATAAAATGATAAAAAGCACAAATCTTAAGTTTAGCTCATATAAAAACACCAAATATTTTAAATAATTAGTGAGAAAAACTTAAATCCAGATCTGTTCAGTGCATTTTGTCCATTTKTTTCACCTGAATGTTAGCATACTACCATTTGCCTGTTAAAACTATGTATATACCTCACCTTTTTTGTGGTGAAGTTGAAGGATTAGTATACTCACCACTTCAYTGAAGATTTTTTCCACTATGTTGTCATCCTGTAGATTGTGGAGAAAGCGGGACGAAGGGGAGTTGGCGAGCAGGCGGAGCTTGGCCACATTGGCTGGCTCATTGGCTGCCCGGGTGATGCCCAGAATGAAGAACTTGATGTCCTGGTTCTTGGCATCGGCAACAGCAGAGAAAATGTCCGGGTTTCTTGGGTGATGAACGCCATCTGTGAGCAAAACTACTACTTTGATGCTTCCCGGTCTAGATTCCTCCCGGTAGATCTGGGTAATGTTGGTGATGGCGTAGGTGGTGTAGGTGCCATGTCCAATATATGCTATTGGGGTGATCCGGTTCTTGAAGTTCTCTGCCCCTTTCCAGTCTCTGAAGGTTTGCTCTTTGATAACATGACTGCTGTACTGCAGCAGAGCAACCCTTGAGCTCAACCTGCGACCGGTGGGRAGCCCTGCTCCTTGGAGTTTGTCAATCACGTACATCGCAAACCGCTTTTCTTGCTCATGATGGTCTTTTGCATTTTCAGAACTGTCCAACAGAAAGGAGAGCTCCAAGCTGCAGTCCTCATCCAAGATAGCTGCACAAAATACCAGATTACAAATCAGTGTCTAACAAATCTCAACATTCACACAACTTAATTGTACAATCCAATCACACTAAAAAGTCAAATTTATGGAAGTGAAATGTGCAGAACACAAGCAAGAAAATGATGCATCATGCAGCATTAAAAGTGCTCACTTGTTTATTGTTTTATTGTTGTCTTTTTCAGTAACCTTCTCACCTTGACCATCATGAATATTTGCAGCCACAGGTTTAGCCCTGGATTTCCTGTAAGTGTTCCGTTCTTCGTAAGAGCCTTGAGATGATATTCTAGACAGTAACGTGACCAGCAGCACTGTTGGAAAAAAAGGAAACATCCTAACTCCTGGAGGGAAAAAAAAAGCCACAAAGACCCAAAATCAATCAGCTTTGCAGACCACAGTCATGTATCAAACATCAAATCAGAGCGATGACAGGTAGGTAAATCCTAAAAATAGCTGAAAAATTCTGTTACAGTTATTTACAATCCTACCTCTTTTAAACATGCTCCAGTTTCTAGTATTCCTTGAAACCTGAAAACAGTTAGCTGACTGATTGAGCACCAGCAGAGGCAGCAGTCATTGTAAGAGCAAAGAATGAAAGGCTCAGAGATGCTCATTCCTCCTTTATAAAGAGACAGATCCACTGGAGCCATGCCAAGACTCCTGCTGTTGCTCCAGGGCAGGGAACACTGATGGGATGGCTTTGTATGTGTGAGACAACATTTAGTGTGTCTTTCCGGAGAGTGGAATGTCAAAACCTGCAAGTACAGCTGGAGAATTACATCTTTATTACACGTATCCTTGTAATTAAACATTTTGCCATATTTTAGTCAGAATTAATCAGCAGTTCATTTAATCTCACACCACTGCCACACAGATTGATTGTTGCCTCTGTGGTTTTATAT